TTTTGATTTATATAAAATTTAATTTTAAACCTTATATATTTTTAATGAATTAATAGACGTTTCTTTATCCTATGAAATTATAATGTGGACGTGGCGGATCACTTCTTGTGTGTATTTTTTTGAATGACTAACCGCGTCCGAGCTTGACTGACCGAGTGAGAATATCCTGACCACCATCAAAGTAACGTCTGAGCCCATTTACTCATTATTTTGGGCTTTTTATATTAAGTTTGATAGTATTTTCAAAGGCAAGAAGTAAACACCAACGCTATTATTATTTCTTTGTTAATCTTTTTATAGTAGTTTATTAAATTTTCGTCAATAGTGATCTACATTTCATAATGTTCTTCCGTTTATTCCATAATATTGTACACATTATTTATTACTTATGTTTAACACATTACTATTTGTATATTTTAATACATGTAATGTCATTTTTTTTTTTAAAGTTGAATTAAAATATGTATAATGACATACTAAAAGTCCTCATCGATTGGACTTGAGCTTTTTTTTTACAGCCTGGCAAAAGTTAAAAAATATGAGCTTTTTTAATCTTCTCAAAAAATATTTAACTTAAAAAAAAAAATTTCTTACAAAAGTTGTTTAAAAGACAATTTTAAACAAAAAAGGTACCTTATATTTTTTCATTTAAACAAATATTTTTTCGAGTTACATTACATTTAATATGAGTACTAAAATTTATTTTCCAATTTTTTTCATTTTACGGTTATTTTTTATCATGTTATACTTACATTAAACACAATATTATAAATGCATATGTGTGTATGTGTGAGTATATTTATTTATAGTATCATTAAAATGTAATGTATATTAAGATACAACCAATAGAGTAGGTAATTGATTTGACGCTATATTGTTTAAACCCAACTAAATGCTAAATTGTACATTCCCAAACAACAATAATTGTAAAACGACGCGNTTGTACATTCCCAAACAACAATAATTGTAAAACGACGCGGGGCTGTGTCAATTACAATAAAAATTTGTTATATATATATATAATTGATGATAAGCGCCAGTCTACGGGTTGGAAAATATTGTTGTCTACGAGTGGTGAGCTGCGTGGGGCGAATGCGTTACGCCAGTATAGTCTCAAGGTCATACACGACGGAATACGCGACATAATAACACGTGCCGCGTGGAGTTACAAACTTACAAACAACAACAACATACACGTAAAACTAATATAAGCGTGTTAAAAAAAAAATATAACTGTCTCTCTGTTTCATTCAATTTTTTTTAGTTCTGTTGTTTCTATTCAGTTTTTTTGCGTTGTTTTATAATCCTTTTTTGTAAGCCGTCCAGGCAAACAATTGCGTTTAAGTCGTCCAGACGAAATCTTTTATTTTATAAACCGTCAAGGCAAATTGTGTTCAACGTCGTCCAGACAAATTCTTTTTTTGTAAGCCGTCCAGGCAACAATTGNAAAAAAAAAAAAAATGAAAAATGGACAAACTAAGGTTTGACTTTAAAACGAGAGGAACGGCCGATGGAAAATCAACAATTTTATGCCTAACTTCAATAGGCACACCAGATGGTCATACTTTCGCTATTCAAGATGAATACCAACCAATAACTTTACACAAGGAATTGATGAAATCACAAGTATATAATAGAGTTAAAAATACATTAAAAAAAAGAAATCAATTCAGAAAAGTTTGGATAACTATGACAGAAGATCTGAAAAAAGTTAATGTAAATGATGATGACAACTTATTATTTTCAGACCTTTATTTAGAAGAAATTTCAGAAGAAGAATGTGATAAATCTATAGTAAGTACTTCAGACACTATAACAAAATTATTAGAAAAAATCTTGGAATCCAAACAACAGACTTCTGAAATAAAAAATCTACAAAAAATTGCTAGTGATTTCATGATTGACAAATTCAATGAAAACAATACAAACGCTAATCAATGGATAAATCAATTTGAAAAAGAATGTGAACGCTGTGTAATAAATGAAGAAAAAAAAAAAATTGAGATTTTGAAATTTTTCCTTGAGAAATGCAGCGCTGATTGGTACTCCTGTATGATTTTGAAATATTCTATAGAATCAGAATGGAACAATTGGAAAAAAAATTTCATTGAAACATTTGGAAACAAAGGTTGGTCACCTATAAGATATGCTTTTAGTTTTAAATATCAATCGGGTTCTTTNATAAAAAAAAAAATTGAAATTTTAAAATTTTTCCTTGAGAAATGCAGCGCTGATTGGTACTTCTGTATGATTTTGAAATATTCTATAGAATCAGAATGGAACAATTGGAAAAAAAATTTCATTGAAACATTTGGAAACAAAGGTTGGTCACCTATAAGATATGCTTTTAGTTTTAAATATCAATCGGGTTCTTTGCTCGAATATGCTATAAAAAAAGAAAAATTATTACTTCAAATTAGAAAATCTATAGATACTGAAACATTAATTGATCTTATTGCGGTTGGCTTACCAAATTATGTCTCTGATAAAGTAGACAAAGAAACTCTAGAAGAAACTCAGGATCTTTATAATGAAATTAGCAAGCTAGAACATCTTGTTAAAAACAATACTATTGGGAGAAAAGGAAAACCAGATTTTGAAAATAGAAAAAAAGTGGAAGAAAAAAAACCATGCCAAATATGTGAAAATGCAAACAAAGGGAAACGCTTCCATTCTGAATTAAATTGCTGGTTTAAAGAAAAAGAGGACAAAAGTAAAAAAGATGGATCATTGAAATCTGTAAACAATTAGGAATTAGAAGTAAAATTAAATCAAGAAAATCAAAAAAACTTATAGTACCACCATTAATAAAAATCAAGCTACTAATAAATGACACTTTAGAAATTTCTGGAGTTTATGACTCCGGCTCAAATGTGTCAATAATAAATGCTAAATTATTAAAAATAAAACAAGAAAATACAAAAGACTTACAAATGATAAGCTTGAAAACTATTAATGGTGCAGGAAAAACAAAAGGAATGGTATCATTAAAAATAAAAATTTACAATATAGAAAAAATAGTAAATGTTTTTATTGTAGACAACAAAAATTTTAATTATGATTTTTTAGTCGGTTTAGACTGTATACAACATTTTAAATTAATTCAAACTAATGATCTAAGGATCATTCAAAAAGAAAGTGTCAATATTCCTGAAATTGCAGGTGACATGAAAGAAAATAAACATGATCAAAATATTGAAATATATGAAAATCCAGATTACATGATAAAAAAATATGAAGTAAATTTCAACGAAGTCATAAATACGGATGAATTTGCACTAATAATAAATCATTTAGATATACAAAAACAATCTAAAATAGATGATTTGTTAAAAAAATATAAATCAGTATTTGCCCAGGATAAGTATGATGTGGGTACTGTTAAGGATTATGAAGCCCACATCGATCTAATGGAGNTCAAAAATTATGAAGCCCACATCGATCTAATGGAGGACAAATATTGTTATAAGCGGCCCTATAGATGCACATTTGAAGATAGAAAAGAAATAGAGAATCAAATAACTCAGCTATTAAAAAAAGGAATGATTGAAGAATCATATAGCCCTTTTGCCGCACCAGTCACCTTGGCTTTTAAAAAAGATGAAAACAAAAAATCAAGAATGTGCATAGATTTTAGGGACATTAACAAAATTATTACTCCTCAAAAACAACCTATTCCACTAATTGAAGATCTAATAGTGAAAAGTGTAAATTGTGAATATTTTACAACACTGGATATAAACTCAGCATTTTGGTCGATACCAGTAAGAGTTAAAGACCGACCAAAAACTGCTTTTGTAACACAAGAGGGCCACTTCCAATGGACGTGCATGCCTTTCGGCTTAAAAACATCACCGGCAATCTTTCAAAGGATAATTAACAATATTATAAGAAAATATAACCTTTCTGATTTTGTAGTTGCTTTTATAGATGACATATTANACTTTGTAGTTGCTTTTATAGATGACATATTAATATTTTCAAAAACTTTTACAGAGCATATAACACATATATCAAAATTTCTAAAAGCAATTATTAAAGAAGGTTTCAAACTAAAATTTTCAAAATGCATATTTGCAAAAGATCATGTAAATTACTTAGGTCATA